TATATATATATATACCGTATTGCTTTAAAATAAAATAAAAAGTAATTGTACATTTGAGGACATCCTTCACATATAACTATTGTTCGAAGTATAGCCCTCTGCACCATTTATGTCAGTTTAATAAATTCAAACGGCTGAAAAGGCTCAGCTGAGACACACAATTGATATTGCAGTTAAAGAAACAAAGTATATAGAGAAAGAGAAGAGTTCAAATATGCCTTATGAATACTTTATGAGGCATGTTTCTGACCTCCACAAAGTAGTTCAGATGTGTTTCATTGTCTGACGTCCCCTCGAAACATGAAGCCTGGAGAATCCGGACAATAAATGCTGCTGCACCAGCATTTCTGGCTTTGGGACTGGAAACAGTGACACTGCAGCTGAACAAGCTGTCTGCCTCCAATCCAGCCAATGCTTCTGTCAGAACTTTGTCCATCAGGAGAGAAAGACTGAAAGAGTAGAGGAATGAGACAGAAAACGGGGTTTAACCTTTAAAGATCCAGCAACCTTTGACACAGACTCTCAACTTCTAATAAATCCACACTTATAATAACCTCCTTTAGGAACATTAACTAACTTCAGGAACATAAAACTAAGTTAATGGATCATTAGTTTGTAATGCACTTTAATATATTTTCTCCACTGATCACATGGAGGAAGGTTTGTACATAATATACTGTAGTTTTATTTTTGTCTGAAACTTTCATCTGTGATGACTTAAGTTACACAGACATGCAGAAAAAAAGTGTCCTATTTCTGTGCTGATTCAGGTCTGACCTGAAGAAGTTATAATCTTACTGCAGTGTCCACAATACCGAACCAGCAGGTGCTGCTTACTTCAGATGTTCATCACTTGGCCTGCAGGTGCAATGCATTATGATGCTCAAAAAAAAGAGACAATTTGATTGGCTACTGTGTGCCGACTCAATTCTGATTGGCTGGAAGTGGACAGCAGAAGAGGGACAAGTCCAGGCATGTTTAGTAGGAAAATTTCTTTCTCCTTTCTCACTCATTTCCTTCTCACATTCATTCACAGATCGCAACTTTGACAGAACGTCAGTGCGTAGTCGCTCTTTTCGCCGCCTGAATCGAGCCTTCAGTGTCCTGAGGAGGACCAAGAGTGGGACAGCAGTGGCCAATGAGGCCACAGAGGAGCAAGACAACCTCAGAAATGCCAACATACCACCGGAGGGTGAGTGTGGGTCTTGCAAGTGTTGTATTCGGACACCAGAAGAAGATTGACTGGGTAACCAGCTAGACCAAATTAAACCAGTTAAGGCCAACAAACCAAGTTGTTTTATTAGGGGCCCGCCTGTTTTAGCATTAACATTAGCATGTATTGTAGTACGCATGTTTATAATTGTTAACTATGTAGTGTAACTGTGCTGTTATAAAACATTATTGCATAGCACCTCATCAAACATAAACTGTCCTATGAATATCATTCAATAGCTTGCTAAACCAATATCAATGGATAATAAAAGGAGAAAGGGAGTGTGTCAGAAGGTGACAGTCTGGTTTGGGTCCGCTCAGCCCCGCAGTAGCATATGGTCCTTTAATAATGCAGATGGAGCCTGAGGAGACTTGTCAAAAAGAGACAGAGAGGAAATTAAGCAATGTGTCGGGACAGAGGGACTGGACAGATGAACGCTGAGTGAGAGGGTTGCTTTCTGAATGAAAACTAAAGAGAAAAAGAGTGCTTGGGAGATTGAAAATGAGTTAGGAAAAAGCTGATGAGCGTGTGTGTGTTGGTTATGTAACACCCTGGTTGTGGTAGTAATGAGCTTCACTTTCTCTCTCCCTGCAAGCAATCAGAGGAGATGAGAGGAAAATATTGACTTTGAAAGAGAAACTGCAGATTGTGGAGAACAGGCGAATACGAGAGAGGGTCTGTGTTTAATGGAGAAAGAAGGGATGGATAAAGATAAGGAGAGACAAATCACAGAGATTGTTACCGAATCCGGCTGTAGTTTACAGTCTGTTCAGGCACAGGTGCAGTAGGAATCTTTCACCCAGAACAAATAGAAATGCATAGCATATGCATATTATGAACAAATTTACAGTATGAACATATATTTTCAGAAGTGTCTGACATAACACTAGCTCTAAAGCTGCATATGGCTCCTTCAGTAATTTGGATTTCATCAGTAGTTTGGCTAACTTTAATTGTACAGGATCTTCCTGTTGTTTTAACCACAAGCACGCTTGGTGACGCATAAGACACTCAAAGCTGATTGGTTACCTCTAATAATGACTGGTTATAAAGGCCTTTTTTTTGGCAGAGCAAATGTTGCATCATTTGAAGATCAATTCTGATTGGTCCGTTTCCTTCTCTTTGTCATGTAGTGACCATTTAAAAGGAAAATGATAGAAAGATGAGAAAAAAATACAATATGTATATATTTTTCACAATATATACTTCTGTTCAAAAGTTTTGGGTCGGTATGATTATTTTGTTTTTGAAAAGAAGTCTTTTATGCTCACCAGAGCTGCATTTATTTGATAAAAAAAAATCAAATAAAAACAGTAATATTGTCAAATAAAGATATTCTTTATAAAAGTTAAGAGTCAACCACGCCTACTTAAAAATGGCTTGTTCTAACACGCCCCCACATGTCTACGTCACGATGTGGGAAGATTTGCATAACGCCGCCAAAAAATGTTCACGCAAAGAAAGAAGGCGTAACTTTTATTTTCGCTGTAGTATTGTTGCTGCCGCCATGTTGTGAAGATGCTGTGTTTCGTTATGAAAGCGAAACTACTTTGTTTGGTCTTCCAAAAGAGGACGATATCCGCTTCGTCATGCCTAGAGCTGATCTGTGCTGGTCGCTGAGGAAAGACATCAACTTTGCGCTGTGGATCGCCGGATCGGCTTTCACCGTGGACGAAGCAGAGTCCAGCCCGGGGTCGTCACATGTGGTTGCCGCAAGCCCGCCGGCCACTCCTTCGTCGAATCCGCCAGCCTCCGCTCACTCTAGCCTACCGTGTGTTTCGTTGTGAAAGCGAAACTACTTTGTTTGGCCTTCCAAAAGAGGACACGACTAGAAATCAGTGGTTAAGTTGTATTTACAACACTATTCCAGAACAGTTCAACACAAATATTCAGATGTGTGCAGCACATTTTATGGAGGACTGTTTCCTGATCCTGGGAGAGTAGACTACAATGCCGGTTGTTCTGACTCACAGTCTGCAAATACGTTTTTATATATAAATTATATGAATATAATATAATATATATATTATAAATTTGCCACTGACGATTCACTGTTGATTCAAATGTGAGTTTTGAACAGTGTAGAGTAGCGCTTGTTGTTTGTAATTTCTCCGATCACAAATGCAGACATGGTTTTATGTTTACGCGGCGCGATGCAACACGTAAAAAGACAGTATAGGTAATTATAATCAGTAATTATGTCCCCACTGTATGCAACAGATGCCTTGTTTATAATGGGTTTTAATGTTTTTGTCTCGTCGCTCCGGCCGGACAGGGCATCACAGTATGATAGGTGCGTAACATTTCCGTCACACGCTTGAGGTATTCAGCCAATCACAACGCACTGTATAGCTGGCCAATCAGAGCACACCTCGCTTTTCAGAACGATGAGCTTTGTAAAAATCGATGCGTTTCAGAAAGGCGGGCATAGAGGAGAAACAATAATGTACAGTATGTGGAAAACTGTTTTTTGAACTTTAAACCGCATAAACACTTCATTACACCAAATACATAAAATAATGTTATCTTTAGCAACATCATATGACCCCTTTAATCGATTTAATGCATCCTTGCTTGTTTTTTGTTTTTAATCTGACTGACCCCAGATTTTTGAATGATAGAATATCTGAGTTAAACAAATTAGTGGTTAAAATGATTTAAACAAACGTTAACTCAATCACCAAAATGATTACATTCATCTTGAATACAATTTCGGGAAGTCTTGGCCCTCCTTGCTTCCTCTGATGGATCACTGTAATGCTTTTTTAAGTCTAGTCATGTTTGGCTCTGCTTTGATCTGGACAGATGCCCTGTTTGTGTAGCACAGAAAGTGATGATCATGTGGGAGTTCACTGATTACAGACGCTCTCTTTTTCTCTCTCTCAGTATTTGCATTACCTCAGCTGCATCATCTAATCCCTGATGGTGAAGTCACCAGTATTAAGATCACCAGGGTAGATCCTTGTGAACCACTGGCTATCAGCATTGTCGGGGGCAATGAGACGCCTCTGGTTCGCATCCTCATTCAGGACATCTACAGAGAGGGTGTCATCGCTCGGGATGGAAGACTGCTACCTGGAGATATGATCCTCAAGGTGCGTATGTGTGCTAGATTTGATGTTACGTCACTGTACAGTAGGAGTGAATCGTCCTGGTTTTGATAGCACATGTTGTCATGGGCTTCACCATCTGTTGTTCAGAAGGGAAGTGTGTGAGGATTCTGCATGTAAACTTGTGGAATGGACTTCTTTTCAAGTATAATTATTTTTGTTATAGCTTGTAACCGATAAATGGCCAATATATTAATAGATTAATAATAAATTAACAATTAATAAATTAATAAGATTAATAATAAAACACTAAAAACCACAGTTGTTTTAAATGAAGTGAATTTAGGCATCACAACTTTTGCAGTATTAATATATATATATATATACAGTGGTGTGAAAAAGTGTTGGCCCCCTTGTTTTTAAATTTTTTTGCATATTTGTCACACTTAAAAGATTCAGATCATCAAACTAATTTTAATATTACACAAAGATAATGCAAGTAAATACAAAATGCAGTTTTTAAATGATTATTTATTTTATTAAGGGAAAAAAGCTGTCCAAACCTGCCTGGCCCTACATGAAAAAGTAATTGCCCCCTAAATCTAATTGGTTGTGCCACGCTTTGCAGCAACAACTGCAATCAAGTGTTTGCGATAACTGGCAATGAGTCTTTCACATCGATGTGGAGGAATTTTGGCCCACTCTTCTTTGCAGAATTGTTTTAATTCAGCCACATTGGAGGGTTTTCGAGCATGAATGGACTGTTTAAGCATCTCAATCGGATTTAAGTCCCGACTTTGATTTGGCCATTCTAAAACCTTAATTTAGTTTTTCTTGAGCCATTCAGAAGTGGACTTGCTGGTGTGTTTGGGATCATTGTCCTGCTACATAACACAAGTGCGCTTGAGCTTGAGGTCACAAACTGATGGCCGGACATTCTCCTTCAGGATTTTCTGATAGAGTGCAGAATTCATGGTTCCGTCAATTATGGCAAGTTGTCCAGGTCCTGAAGCTGCAAAGCAGCCCCAGA